ACCTCACAGCCATACCAAGAATTTAATTTTAATGAAAATTAATTGCACATTCACAGAGCACTATATGCGATACAAACGTGGTGTATTTGTATATATGTGTGCACACGCTTACAAAAATCCTTGCAATTTGCGCTTGCTGCCGCAACCACGTGGTCTTGCCAATATAACCGCATGATTTCTTGAATAACTTCTGTTTGTTAACCTTTTTGGATGAAATGTTCAGCAGCAGATTAAATTGTGCGATAAAATATTCCTATATTCTTAAAAAGACAACAGCATTAAATTGGTTGCTAATTGGTGGGTGGATTGAATTGATTTATTTATTGGACTTATAGCTATGTCGGAGTGGCGGGGGGTGTGGTTGGCAATATCTATAGAACGAAAGATACTGGATATATACTGTATATACTATTCTAATAGCTGCATGCCAATTTTGGTGACAAGCTCTTAAAACCAAAGAGATTTTCTCTAAAAACATAATTTCGATAACGATTTCTTATCGATCATAAGAAACGGGAAAAGTTATCAGATTTTCAAGAGATTAAGAGAGACGGACATGGCTAGATGGACTCAGCTATTGATGCTGATCAAAATGTATCTTTATACTTTATGGGATCGGAGATAATTCCTTCTGCCTGTGGCATACATTTGCATACAACAATTTTTATGGGTTTAGGGTATAAGAAAGGGTCTCCAATTTATGGCGAGTTTCCTAAGCCCATTACTCAACTTGAATCCCATTAATAAGCCTTTCCCAAGCTTTTTAATTTCAATTAGTGAATTTCTTAAGCAAACAAATTTATTGATACACTTTGACTAAGGAGAAATAGCCACGAAAATATGTCGCTATCAATTAGTAGAATCTCATATCGAGCACGCCTCGGAGCACAAATGGCTGGGCCTGTCCCTGAGGAGTTCCAGTTAACCTCAACATGACATCTCTTAAATATATGTGTAAATACCTGCGCATAAAGCTGACACACATGATCAAATTATCGGCCTGACATGTTCAACGGAAAGTATCTGCTAAATACGTTCGAGCGTTGATCAAATGAACTGCCGCCTGATCTACGAGTAGAATGTGGCCTGTGGCCCAACCACAATTTGCCCCACTTGGCCAGCTGTGTGGTTGGTGTGAATGCAATCACTTCCGTTTCACTGGTTCTGCGTTGCCCCTTTGAAGTGATCGTGCGTTCTGATAAAAGCCAAAGGCGACTGCTTCGTACGTTTCGTATCTTGTATCTGGTGCGAGTATCTTGTATCTGACGGATAGGCATCGCTGTGCCGTTTACCTTGCCTCAGTTTCTGTTTGATGTGCTCTGTTGATATTTCTATGGCAATTAATTGATTGTGACAGATTGCTATGAAGTGCTCAAACCCCTCACACAGACCACCTCTCCCCTTCGATTCTCTGCATCTCCGCCTGACTGACACTTTTGTGTTGTGTCATGCGTTTAAATTGAGAAAAATTCAGCGTTCCGTCAGGGGGCAACACACACACACACACACATCGACTAGTGCTGATGGCTCGCTGCATCCTCAGCCAGACAATGTCTTCCAGCAAAAAGTAATACATTCTGTTTACATGGCGCAAATCTAGCAGCAATTGCCATGAAAGACGCAAAAAAGCTTCTGCTGCCATTCGATGGCACTGCTGATATGCAAAACAGATGTCGCCGCATGTCGTTGCATGCCGCTGATGTGGCCGATGTTGCCGTTGTTGCTGATGTTCCGCAGTTCGGACTGTCATCAAAACTGTTGTCCCAACATGCATATTAATTTTATTGCTAACAATAACAAATCCATCGACAACTATTGTGAAATGCATTTAATAGTAGCACTAAAACGCAGCAACAATGCAAGCGTCAACAAAAGAATGCATTGTCGATGGCGGTTAGGGAGTAGCCGACTAACGTACGTACCCTGCAATGACAACTCCTGTGTTAATTCAACTGAAAGTTGAATGTTTGCCAATGATAAAGACTTCAACATAATTGCTTCTGTTGCTTAAGGCCCCAAACAATAAGTAATACATGTATTAAACATTTGTCACAATTAATAATAATTAATAAATATGTATTATTTACCAGGGCTGCAAACTGAAATATTCGTAGGTAGCTCGGCTCCAACTCTCTTTGATTCGAGCTTTTCACATCTATAAGCCCACTTTTTTTTCAAACCTGGATTAATCATAAAAAAATGTGTTATCTTGAATGTACAATTTCCCTTTGCGACGAAAATATTTTTAGCCGTATATATTTTCATAAGCAATGCGGGCTAAATTTGATTTTCACTCAAGAATTATAGCTAACAAATATGGTTTGCTTAATTTTATATTTTTGCTGAGTCCCACACAAATGTTTTTTATTTTAAGTGAACATTTTTTAAAATTTAATATGGCTATGTTCGGATTTCGATTCATACATCCCTAATAATTAAAATGTACCTACGAATTGGTGTAAAGTCGTGAATATATGGATATTAAGTCCACACTTTATATAGTTAGGTCTTATTTAATAATTTTGCTCTCTACTCATTTTAGTTAATAATAATAATGTTGCTCATACGTTTAATATTATATACATTTCTTTAATAAATATAAGGTTATATTTATTTTATATTTTCATATTTATACATTATAGTCTAAATCCAATTTTGTTCAATTTCAAACCTTGTCATGCATTCGACGTTCTCTATAAGAGCACTTACATTGAAATGCAGGGTATACAATGCAATGAAGCGAGGGAGCAAAGGAGCATCAGAGTTGACAACAAGTGGGGGACACCTCGGACTCGCTCTCTGCGCTGTCAACTGACAGCCTGTCACTGACAGGGCACAGTCTGTAGTCAGTGTCGTCATTGTTGTCGTTGTCACCGTTGTACGTTGCTGTTGTTGTTGTTGTTGTTGCAGTTGTTGTTGGTTTGCCACATGTGCAGCAGCAGCAGCAGCAGAGAACAAAAACAAACTATAAGATTTTATTGCTTTCTCGCATGTGAAGAACTACGCGAAGTTGATGCTGCAGGTTGCTGCGGGTTGATGCTTCTGCCTCTGCTGCTGCTGCTGCCACTTCCACTGCTTCTGCTACTGCTGCCAGTGGCAGGAAGCAACAAGCCGATGCCTGGCAAAACCCTAAAAGAAGCTACAACATTCCCCGCCTCGCCTGCCCAGCATTCAACGGCAACTGCAAACAAGGGCGTTGCACGAGCTGTCAAAATGAGCAATTACTTTGCAAAAATGTTGCACAACTCACGTGTTCTATGCGCTGCAGCCCGTACAGATTTTGCTGCTTCGGCTTCCACCCAATCCCGTCGCTCTGCGTCCCTCTGACAATTGTGCCTGCCACCCCCCGCAGCACTGCACAAGTCGTTTGTCTTGTTGGGCTGCTGTTTGGCAAAGTTTTCGTTGCGCTACCCCCCAAAAACTGGCATTTGGAATATGGAAATTGATAGTGTAACTTACTTATTGTTAAGTTACGGACTTATGCAGCAAATGCCTGTCTGCAGCTGCCTGGTAATTAATTGTTAGGGCTAATTACCTGACAAACAGGTGCTCAAGTTACAGAGGTTAACATGTTAACATGGGAGCAGTTAAGTACGTATTGTTACCTTCTAAGCCTGAAATTTGCTTTTTGTGACTTGTTTAGAATAGGGAACAAGATCTCTTTCGGTTACAGGCAAACATTCATTCACATTTAAGCTTAAACACTTTGGGAATTATATTTGAAGTGAAAGTTGTTTTTTTGCCGGACCGGATAAAATAAATTGTTAACTATTCGTCAGCATTTTCACGCTTAAACCATGTGCGAATTATTAGCACTCATCCTGAAAATAATTGGCTGGTACTTCTCTTACTTAGCACAGCCTGTTCCCAAGTGGTTTCTCACGACATTCTATTAGTACAAATGGCTAGCCACACCCATTAGCATCCAGGTGAGACCCCGGCCCCTTAAAACACTGCCACCTGCACTTAATGCCCTGACCACAATTGTAGTAGCCCATTAAAATTTCGACTCAACCTCAACCTAATGCTGGCATTTCGTGCTCACTATTCCTGGACCAATTTTTTTCTTCTCTTTTCCGCGCCTCCCATCACACACGTGAAAGATGTTGACGTTTACGACGCAGACGAGACTCCGTCACCGTCGCCGTCTCCGGCTCTGATGATGATGATGCGGACTGCGGCGACGACGATGACGTTTGAGCCAGTCAAAGAGTGTTCCAACATGCTGGCAACGCTTCTGCGGGTGTTAAATGTGTTGCCACTGGCACTGGCTGCAGTTGCCCCCCCTTTTACTCCACTTTTCTTTATTTCTTCTTCATTTTTTTTTTTCGTATTTCGGGGCAACTTTTGCCGTTCATTTAATGGCTTCATTTTTGCTTTGACATTTTTCCATGTAGCTCGTAGCTCTCGTTTTTCCTGCTGGCATGTTTGTTGTGCTGTCAGCCTGTCAAGCTTCTCCCTCGCCTTCAGCGCGCTTCTTCCCAAGTTGTTCGTTGCTCTCTTTTTGGCCTTTTAAACTAATTGCATTGCCGTGTGTCTGTTAGTGGATGTGTGTGTGCGCGTGTGTGTGTGTGCTGGAAGAAAAGTGCAATAACTATTTAAATGATTGCATAGCGCACATGTGACAGCCACAACCGCGGACTCAGCCTCACTCTCCACAGGTGGTAAACGGGATACCCTTGGTATTTTCTCTTTTACCAAAAGCCAGACAAGGCTTACTTTACACCCCTTCTTTGTGATTCTCATGAATTGAAGTTAAGCTTAAATAGTTTCATACTTTCTCGTACTGTCATTTTAATTTACTCTTTTGCGCTATGTCTTTCTTTTTGTCTCTTCCTCTCTTTCTTTCTCTCTTTCTCTTTCTCTCTCTCTCTCTCTCGCTCACTTACTTTCTATATCTCTTTCTCTCTCTCTCTCTTTCACTCACTCACTCTTTTTATATTATTTGCCTGGTCTCTTCTCTTGATCTTTCTAATCTGTTCTCAACATTTTTCTTTCAGTGATGTACATATATAAATGTTTGCCTAACTCAGCTAATAGGGATAAATCTAATATTAAAAAAATAATAAATGAAAATTATTATGCATGTGTACGGAATATTTGGGGTAAGTACATATTTACATTAAATTGATATAGTTATTCATAACATTATTTTTATGTTAAGACTTGTTGCTTCCCTATTTACCACAAGAATACAAAATTCGAGCTTTTAATCTCATTTAATAATGAAATACTTAAATTACAAAGTTTTTGTCTTTAGCATTGTTTAAAAATGTATAATATTATATTTAATAATATATGTGATTTGACTGCATAATTATTTTATAGAATTCAAGGAAAGCCTTTATTGGACGTTACTATTTTATTTTGCGTGTTTTAAATTTGAAGAGCATTCGTTGTTCGCTTAGACTCTGCTCAATAGTTGTTTTTGCTTCCAAGTGCCAATTAAATGTTGCTTATGTTTGATTATTGCTGTCAATTCAGTTCCAAATTTACGTCGGTTGGCTGTTGTGGATGCCGCGCCAGTCTCTTCCAGCTGTTTGTCGTCAATGCAGCAGGAGCTGGAGGTGGTGGCAAGTGCCAGAATTCTTTTAAATGCTTTTCACTAGAAATGCTGGCACTCTCAATGCGGGGGAGCGGGCGTGTGAAGGAGATGCAGTGTGTTGACCGACACTACGAAACCGCCCCAAATTGCGGAGGCGTGACCTCCGACGACTTCCTGTATTGCCTGATAATGCTGCTGAAATGCTGAAATGCTTGGCAATCAATTAATCATAATTCTGATAGCACAAAACATGTTGCAACACGACCGCAACAGCAACTGAAAGCCGAAAAGGCTAAATCGATAGCACGAAAATCTGAACCCCAATGCCTCCCCAACCCCACGTCCACCTTCTGCACTAAGCAATTGTGAGTGTGAAAAACCATAACATGTGCTTATCACATCGCAAACACAAATACAGAACACTCTACAAGCACACGCACGCACACACTCATGTGTGGCTGAAAACCATGACAAATTAAAGACAACTCCCCCTGATTCCAATTCCAATTCCAATTCCAGTGCAAAGCCCGAACCCAATCCAATTCGGAGTCTAAACCATATTCGAAACGTGCCACATTGCGGCATAAACGATAATTACATTTGGCAGAGTCGCCGTTTACCTACACGACATGGCGACATATATTCGTATTATCCTTATTGATCCTTATGGACGCGGCTTATATGCAATTCGAGGACGTTGATAAATTGTAACAAACTGCAGCTAAAGGAAAAATATCTATAAAACTCAAGAACTGCTCTCGACATGTGCATTATAATCGGGTTTTTCTTGCTCTCTGCACAATGGAAAATGATGCAGTGCCTTTTTGCTGGGCACTTTTCTTCGGGAAATTTATCGCATATGTCGCAAGTCTCACATGATATGCCAGATTCTCGACTGTCTCTCTGGTGCCATTGTAATTTTTAATGGTCTGCCGGCGTTGCTTCCTGCAGGTCATGCCGCCAGCCCGGGCGTTAGCCCAGGAGGCAGGCGGAGCAGCATTTGGTCTGTTGGTTTGTAATAGAATTTTTGCATTGCATTTGGTCTGAGCTGAGCTGCCTGCAGCGATAAATGTGATAAATGAAGCTTTAGCTGGTCTTGTTTTTGGTCTGCATAGAAATGCATTATGCAGATGGCCGCACCGAAGGATTTATAACCCTGATGTTTGTCTTGGTAATAGCCCAAGTCGACACATAGGATAAAAATATTAGCCAGCATTATTGCGAGAGCGTTCAGTTTTATGTTGTCGGAGGCACTTGCAATGTTCACTTCAAGCCAAATGTTTTGAGTCCAAAAAAGATAGAAGTCCATTCCGTCAGTGAGTCGGTTACATATTTTAAGTCTAAGGGTCAGTTGTGTTTGGTATATTGACAAATATAATATTTGATTTTTCAAATATATTTAGCTCAAGTAACTCCTGCCCTCGCTTACCTTTCGGTTCATAATTTTATGTGCCTCCCATTCTGACTGCCTTTTTATGGCCGCGGGGGCCAAATGCAAACTATTGTAGTTTATGACAAATAAATATATTTTTATTGCACTTCCTGCAATTTATTGCAATGCAGTTTCGCACTTTGCAGTTGTCAATTCGTTCTGCTTATCGATAGCCGCAACATTTTGATAAGCGCGAGGGCAGCTGGTTTATTTGTTATACTTGGTCCGTATTTATTTTAAAAGCATCGCCAGCTATTTCACATTGTATATGATAATCGTTATATTTCGTATTTATTTGCATATATGAAAATAGCAGGCGAACTGGCGACAGGCGACTGAGAGTATCCGAGTCTCCGAGTATCCTCATATATAGGATATATAAGGCAATGCGCGTGCACAGAATTTTAAATCGAAATATAAACACAGACAGTGCAGACATTGGGTTAAGGGCGGGGGCAGGGGTCGGGTAGGAGGGTAGGAGCACGGCACACTTAAAAGATTAACCATAAGCGCACGGCACACGAAACAAGGTTCGGGGTTTCAGCTCACAGTTCTTCATATAAGTACATATACTCGTACCTATCTATAAACAAACACACACACACACACACTCACATATATGTTAAATTGTTGTTGGTTTTGTTCTGTTTTTTGGGCTTTATTTTTGTTAAATATTAAACATTGCTTGAGCTGCTGAAAACAATAACAATAAAGCCGCTCACCTCTTTATAATTGAAAACGGGTTGTCTCGCCTCCTATTTATGTATATATTCTTTTTTTTGGGAGGAGGCTTTTGTTCCTTAAACTGATTTTAATTTTAACGTTGATAAGTTGACGTACGGTCCTTATTTTTGCTCTATTCGCGAGTGAGGAACATCGAATATGAAGAGCAAAAGATACAAAAGTTCAGAAAGTGGAAAACAAATATTCTCTTTAGTTGATCCATCTGACAATCTGCTGTTTTAGAACAAATCATATATTAACTAAGTAGCTAAAATTTCGCTTTATTACCTGATGGGTATTATTCATGAAGGAATGTGTTTAACATTACGAGAATATTTTTTTAAATTTTAGAAATCATCATTTACTTGAGTATCAGAGGTTCTATATAAGTAATATACTGAAATGATAGTAATTTTCGCTTTTGCGATATGTTAAATATTTCTAGACTAGTCTGTTATATTTTAAAAAGAAATCATAAACTGACACAGAGAACCTAAATAATAATGATATTCTGAAATTTTTTTTTTCTATTGAGATCCTGAAGTTACAGAGGATCTGCATAATAATGAAATTCTCCTGAAAGATATAGATAGAAATGATTAAATTATGGGACATGCTTAATATTTCCAGACTAGTCGGCTATAAATTGAAAATATTAAGAGCCTTAAGATACAGAGGATATACTAGATATTTGCCTGAAAGATAATAATATGGGAATTCCCAATTTTTAAAAATAATCAGGCCTTAGCGATACAGAGTATGTGAATAACAACGATATTCTCCTAAAAGATATAGATATGGGTTCTCAATTGAAGAATGCGTTTTGTATTTCGAGAAAAGTCGTTAATTTGTGCTTGACTATGCTCTTAAAATACTTTAAAAATAATATATATTTGGTTGGAAAGCGTATTCCATCTTCGTGCTGCCTCAGCTGTATTTTGTTTAAGTTGGTTTCTTGTCTTTTATTTACATACGCGACTGCACACCGACAATTTGTTTGCCTTTGTTTTCTGTCAATATCGCAGGAGCAGAGCGCACTTGTCGTCATCATCATCATCTCCATCTTCAGCTACGGTCTGGGTCTGTGCCTTGGGTAAACAGAAAATCCCACGCACGTCGGTTTACGTAACAGATAGATAGAGAGAGGGAGAGAGAGGACGGGACAGGGAGAAAAGGATAGCGAGAATTGCAGCGACTCTTGAGGGTCTGAGGCAATGCAAGTTTTACCGCCAAAATCCACTTGACTTTTTGTCAGATACTTGAGCAAGTCAAACTGTCGGTCTCTGAGCTGTGTTCCAGCTCTGCTTCTTGCCGCCTTACGGGTTTCTAATTATAAACTGCTCAGTCAGCAGTCAGTGGAGCGACCCGTAAACCCTTTGCAAGTTCCAAGTTCATGAACTTGTGCATTGAACTTCGGCCAGTCAGCCAAGCCGAAAACCAACTTGAAAACGGCTTCTGCATCGAGTTTAGACACGAATTTTCTTTTTTCAGCTCCTGTTGTTGTTGCTCTTGTTGTTGTTGTTGTGGAAGTGTTTGTTTTCATTAGGTTGCAGTAGCCATCTGTTCTTACTTGCAATTGCCGCAGACTTTTAATTTGTGTGGATTTCCAGTTCCGTTCTACACAACGATGCACGGCCCCTTGGCCGAGGTCGAGGTCGATGGTTGCAGTTGAGGTTGAGGTTCCGCTGTCGTGCCATGTAATGTAAAGTGGAAGTTGTAATTTAGTTAGCTCCAAATGACTTTTCGGCACAACATTATCATTATGTGCATTTAATTGCTGTTTGTCTTCCACTTCAACTCCAACTCTTCTCTCTCTCTTCTTTTCGAGACGCCATTCACTAATTTGTGTGAACTTCCTCTGATTGCAGAAGATTCTTGACTTTTTGTATTGCTCATCGGAAATGAGGCGCAGGTTTTGTTCATATTTCTTAAAATAATATGAATGGATAAAGGACAACTCGATTCAATGAATAAAGGTATTAATTATAGTAATAATAAGTAATTAAATCTGTGATTATTTTTATCGAATCTTTAAGCTAGCCCAACAAAAGCTACTATAGGACTTTAAAATACAGTCACATGTGGACTGTGAACTCTCTCTCTCTCTCTTTGTTCCATTTTAATTTTCATTTGATATGAAGCGGAATAGTTGTCCAGCATATCTACTGGCTGCACTTACATATTATTAAATGTGAATAGTTTTGTCTGTGCCACAGCGTATACTCATTTACGAGGCTCGTCGTGGCACAGGACATGGCCACAGAGACCGACAACTGTCCACAACCACAAAACACATCAACGGCAGCGGGCAGCAAACAGAAAAACGTTGAAATTAATGAGAAAATTCTCAGCTTGATATAAAAAACCACAAGATAACACAACGGGACAGGAGCTAGTAGGACTGT